TATTTCCGGGACAACAAACCCTTTCCATTTACCTTTATAAATATTTTTAAATTTTGATGGAATTTTAATCCAATCAGTGAGCCAATCACCGAGCGCAGTGAGCAACAACGTCAGTTGAAAACGTTCCAAGGTCATCGGCCAATGGAAACCTCTCGTTTCAGTTTGAATTTCGAAATTTGTAAATAATTATGAATATGATGATAGGCCGCTTGTTGTGCTGAGAATACACAAGTGATTACCATGTTCGTTTCTAATCACGACGTCTTATCACGATTACAACGCCTTCTAATTTTACGCGTTTCACATGATTTACTGTCAAACGTCAACCACAGTTAATGCAGCCCTCCATAACAATGCAACATCCTTGATGTGAGTACATGAAAAATGTTCCCATAGCCATCAATACATTGCCACACCAGCACCCTTGCTTGGTGCACTTGTATGGCACGCATTTATACAGTCGGTTCGCGCGAGAAAACGATTACTAATAACTGATGCAATCATACAACGCGATACAGCGCGTGAAACAGATCGAATGGGGACACCATGCGCAGACGATAACAAATTCCAATGAAGTTTATTGCCAAAACAAAGGCCACGAATAATTGTTCCAACATTAAAAACAGTTATTTATAATTGTTTACAATTTAACTTGTCCCCATGAATAATTAATCACATGACGTTATGTCCAATGATACCATTTGAAACAAACACTATTCTCTCCTTGGCTGTAGATGGAGATTCAAATGTTGGCAAGTTCTACCGCGTTAAGTAGGCTTGACACAACTGTTCACTTTAGTAAATCTTAAAAGTATCATACATTTCACCGGCGCCGTTGTTAATCTGAATAGCGTAAGCATTTCCCCTTCCCCGTTACCCTTTCACATTTGGTAGGAACATATATGCGAGTATTTCGTTTAATGACAGGCTAATTGACAATTACTTAATGTATACATATGGAAGGAAATTGTCTGTTACCATGCACCACGCTGAACTTTGCCTCACCCAAAGTTGGTCTTCAATTATCAGTATTAAAAGCCGCACTACTCAATATTAACACTAACATGTCACCGCATAAGGGACTGGCCATTAAAAAACGGGGGTTAAAAGAAAACAAATATTTTGAAAAAAAAGACATACATTTGATATCCAAAGAGAAAACCAAACTATGAAGAGAAAAAACAGCTCAAAACTAAGTGAAGGAAGAAAGTTTCGGACCCCTACATTGAAGTATAACACTGCTACAGCGATAAGGAAGAGTCGTATAACGTCCAACAATGACGTAATGCCTACTTTATCACGACAGGACAGCACTCTCCGAAACAGACTACTGAAAAATTTAGAAAGAGAACTTAACATAACGTAATGAATTATATCGTTGAAAGATTCATTCATTGTTAGCAAAGATCACAATTATTTTCCAGCAAGGCTGCAGTTTTCGTGCTATACTGGCACGAATGCCGTGTGTGTGTGTTATGGTTGGATATGTACTATTTTTTGCCATTCCTTTCTAGATTCCTGCAGTGGTCACAGAAACTTGAGTGATAAATACGTTACACACTGTCTATAATTAGTATAAACACGAACGCACTGGTGAAGTGTTTGGTTGACATTTTGTATCTTATGATGACGTTTATTTTAAGAATATAAACAATTGCATGCACTATCCCCCTTTGCGGTGTAAAATAGTAGTGTTGCCAATACAAACAACGGGCTATATACAAGAAAATTGGCTGTATCACTGGAGTACGCATGCGTGTTTCAAATCAACAATTCAAGATATGTGAGTCCAACAACAACTAACTAGTAAACTAATGACTGATTTATCCAGTGATTTATCATGG